TCTTTCTTTCTTGCCCATGCTTCAAGGCTTCTAAGAGGTTTAGGATTTTTTTTTTTTTTAATTCAGCCTTTTTAATTGTTTCCAGTGGGAGGTGCAGTCTGAATTCCTAGCCTGCCATATACCTGGAAACAGAACTCTCAAAACTCAACTTGATATACCCTACAATTGATAAAAATATCTGATAGACTAATTTGTTCAATTAATAATTTCCTCCCCCCCCACCAAAGCTTTAAGTAGGAATAGTTTGATGGAATTAGATAGAACCCATAATCCCTGGTATTTAACTCTTCCCTCATGAATATTACTAACAAATGTTTTGGATTTACGTTGAAATGCCAAAGTAGCTCAAAGATCTCATAGTGACCACAATTTTTTAAACAGTGACCACATTTTAAAATGTTTCTCAGAAAATGAGTACCTTAAACCAAAATCATGTGTGTCACTTGCATGGAAAGTGCTATGTCTCCATAGTTACACTGAAACATAACAAGTACAAAGGGGAAATGTCTTTTGGTGGTTGATAAGCTAAACGGAAGTGAGTCTTGCTGTAATATAATATTAGGAATGCTTTTAAACTTTCGCTCAAGGATGGAGGGTTTCATATCCTCTTGTATAAGTCCTTGCTAAAACACAAGTAAGCGTAGTTACGGAAAAACCACATGGGCAGTGATTGTAAGACTCAGTGTATTGATGTCATGTAGAAAAACATGATACAGAGACCCTTTTTTGTGGTTTATTCAATTGTCTTTGTTATTTCTGGTATTTGTTCTGAAGTATTACTCAATAAAATTCTAACAAAGACAAAGACAATCTGTCTTAGCCCAATGTTATATTAGCCCTATTCCCCACTTGGGAAAAAGTGTTTTATAACACATATCAAATCAGCCTTGGAGACCATACCGTCCAATTATGCCTAGAGTGTACTAGAGATTCGAGAAATGTTTGTTGAGTCAGTTACTTAATGGACAATATATAATGGGCTGTGGTGCATAAGGCAGAGCAGTGACTAAAATGTTGACTTAGTCATATGATGGGCACACTGAAGAAGGAAAATGCCTGGGATTCCATGCCCATTCTAGGGCTCTCTGGTGCTGTGGCTCTGGGTAGTCCATGAGCACCTGGGGCCACAGTTTCTTCATTATTTGCCCTGTTCTTGGGTCAGACTGCACAGCCACTCCCTGTATATGCTGCATAATTTCCCAATTCAGGGTCCTTGTCCTATGGTTATCTAAAATGCCCTTCCCCCATCCACTGTGTGACTAAGCCTATCTTGTCAGGGCTTCCTACTTCTCCTAATCCTTGCAGTATGAATACACCCCCGCCTTGACACCACCCTGGCGAGAAGTTAACTTTCCCTCTGAGCTATGCGAATAACATCTTTTCTCTTTTAACTCAAGTGGTGTCATTTAATACTTTACAGCTTATATTACGATCTTTTATGTAGATATCTGTTCTATACCACTTCTCTGCTAGACTGAATGTTCATAAGGGTAGAACCCATGCTTGCTATATTTTTGTAGTCCCCCACAACACCTAGAAAAATACATTAAAGAGTATATGTGCTCACTAAATATCTGCTGAATATGCAGCATAATAATGCTTTTCTTTCTCTCTTTTCCCCTCGCCTCCCCTCTCCCCTCCTCTCCCCTTCCCTTTTGACAGGATCTTACTCTGTTGCTCAGGCTGGAATGCAGTGGCATGATCTCAGCTCACTGCAACCTCCGCCTCCTGGGTTCAAGTAATTCTCCTGCCTCAGCCTCCCCAATAGCTGGGATTACATGCGCCTGCCACCAGACACAGCTAATTTTTATATTTTTAATAGAGAAAGAGTTTTACCATGTTGATAGGCTGGTCTGAAACTCCTAGCCTCAAGTGATCTGCCTGCCTTGGCCTCCTAAAGTGCTGGGATTACAGGCATGGGCTATGACACCCAGCCCCAATAATGCGCTTGTTGCTGACAATAGAGGACCGCATCAAACGGTGGCTTGAGGCCATTTATACCTTTTAGACCAATTATTGTGGAGGATCAATGGGGAATGCTGGATATAAATAAGAAAAATTGCATAAGCTATTTACCCATTAATGGGAGAAGAAAAGAAAATACTAGGTGGATCAGAGCCCATTTCAAAGCAGGGATGAAAGTGAAATTGATGAAGCAAGAGTAAAGCAACAAGAGCAGCATAGGTTGGTTATTCTATTTTAGTCATTTAAGGAAGTTCCTTTCTCAACTGCCTGCTTTTAGACTATGCATACCTGTGTACAGCTAGCACAGCATGTACCTGGTTTTGACAGATTCCCTGAGGACTTGAGCCAGAAGATGAATTGCATCTTTAGAATATGGCTAATAGTTTCCCAGACATAGTGTTGAGTGACAGAAAACAAATACAATATAATACACACTGTCTGATTAAATAAAAATGAAGTTCGAAAATAGGTAAAACTAACTTGTCGTGATAAAAGTCAAAACAGTGGTTATTCCTAGAGGCTGCTGACTAGTATAGAACACAAAAGATTCTTCAGAGGTGCTAGTAACAATCTATATGTTGATCTAAGTGGTGGTTACATGGTACATAGACATGCAAAAATATTATGTTGTCCACTTAGAAGTTGTGCACTTTGGCTGGGCAAGGTGGCTTACACCTGTAATCCCAGCACTTAGGGAGGCTGAGGCAGGCAGATCACCTGAGGTCAGGAGTTTGAGACCAGCCTGAACAACATGGCAAAACCCCATCTCTACTAAAAATACAAAAATTAGCTGGGCGTGGTGGCAGGTGCCTGTCATCCCAGTTACTCAGGAGGCTGAGGCAGGAGAATTACTTGAGCCCGGGAGGCCGAGGTTGCGGTGAGCCCAGATCACACCACGGCACTTCAGCCTGGGCTTTCATCTTTTCATCTTTTTATTGGAAGTGTAAATTGATTTTAAAAAAA